TGCCTGAAACGCATCTGTACACAAAGTAAGTGTCGTGTCCTGTTTAGGACTTGAGTAATTATTTTGCCGCAGAAAAAGCATCTTTCTCTTCGAAATATAATATTAACCTTTTGACATCGTCCTTCTGACCTCCCACATTGTCTGGACATTCCATGAGCCTATATTAATAGTTTCTCTGTTTGTTAAAAGGAGCACCAGCCTCGTGACTTCCGAACGAAGCGTCATAATTCTTCCCTCAACTCCCAGGGCAGAGCTTAAATGGTTTAATTTGTTTATACTGATTGGCGTTTTTTAAGAAGGTTATTTTCTATGGGATGGAACTGCTGACTCCTCCCCTTTTATCCATGCTTGAGACCGGCACTAACCTAGAAGAGCTACAGGCCTAGTCCACAAAGGAAAATCCTCTGCTCAAAGAACGGCATAAATACCAAAGAACTAACATTTAAGTGTTTCTGCCCATCAGTATACGTAGTTTAGGGTTTAAGTAAATATTGATTGTACATTGAAGATCTTCGCAACTACTTTAGTTTATCGCGTTATCCGTTTAGTGTAAGCAGTGGTTGAATACCATGTTCTCATATAAAATTTCATTTATATGGGCTTATTTGTGGCTATAGATGTAAAGCTAATGTTTCATTTTGTGGGATAATGCTTAGTGGGGCACTTCAGTGCATAGCTCTCAGTCTTCAGTAGTGTTTTTGATTCCGCATACAAACTACCTTTTTACTCCCATATTACCATTAATCCTGTTATATGCTGACGAAATTATGATGTAGAAAGTTAGACGAAGTGGAAAAACTAGTTTAGAATGCCAGAGATGTCTACAGAAACTGCAATCGGTGTATATTTTTGTAAGGCAGTTAGACCTTGAATTTTGTATTTGCTAACTAGTGAATGTAAGTTCATCATGCTGCATATTGGCCACCAAAGCATTCAAACGATTATTAGGGAGTCTTCTTTGATAAAAAAATTTATGTCCATTGCGTACTTTCGCAATAACTATTGAGTCATAGAACAGTTAGTACCAGAAACTTCAGCACCATAGATATCACATGCCTTGCTTTGTGTGCCATTTTTTAACGATTGAAGCTTGAGTATTACACACAATTGATTTGTTACTGTGTAAGAAAAGATGGTGGTGTTTTGGAAATGATTTAGAGGACTGTGACTAAGTTAACTATAATCTCGAAGCTGGTGTATGACAAGATATAGACCTAAAAACATATTCCCTTTACGGTATAGAGGTATTATTAGTGATATCACCACTGTCTCCAAATTAGCTAGTGATTTTATATCTAGTTCCCCACATTTTTTGTATTCCTGGACAAAAATGTCACGAAACGAAAATTTAGAGGGCAACAATTCTTACCTCAGGAAAAGTGAAAAACTCCCTAATCAGTTGCACTTGACCTAAATCGTCACTAAACTTCGGTATGTAGACTTTTCTGAAGATGGTTCTTGAGTTATATACGGAATTTGAAGTTTAAAATGAGCTTCCGAGCAATATCCCAGTCCTCACACAAATCGGATGATAAACTGTGGCGCATATATATTTAGTAACTCCTTATACCAATGTTTATGTGCTTCGGCAGATAATAATAAATGGCAATTCGTCAGCTGGGGGAAGAATAAATGCTGACCAATGTGACTGAATTGGAGCCATCACAGGAATTTTAGTCATGTTACGGTTGTCGTATGAGCTACATCTATAAAGTCTAAACCTTAGATAACTCTTATCAGCAATTGACTACTGTGCTCTGATGATACTTCAACCCTTATGATACCATATATCATCGTAGCCAGTATGGTATAGATTAAGGGGTGATTAGACTGGATCTACACATATTCTCCCTGTCTCAATCGATCATCGTTCGCAACGTCGTCTACCGACATACCACCAGTTAGTAGCAGATTGCACGGTTTCGGTATCATCACACAGTACGACAATATCATCCGCACACTCAAGGTCGAAAAGTATTTCTTCAGGCTACAGATCTACACCACCATTACCTACATCCATCAAAGCTGTTTCCAGAACGTCATCGATGGCAGAGTTGAAGAGGAATGGTGAGGTTGCGCAACCCTATCTAATCCCACTGCTTGAATGAAACAATGAAGAGAGGTAGTTGTATGCTCTCACTCTGTCTGAGGTGTTTGTATGTAGGGTTTTTAAGATGTTATTAAACTCAGGCACACCCTTCAATTGACAATCTCAGAGGACAGTCCTGTCCAACTTTATGGTTGTTCTCAAATGCTGATCATCTCAGTTTAGGAGAAAGATTTGAAATCCTCTTGTGCTACCCACAGAGAAATCATTTTGACCAATAGTGTTTTTCAAATATTAGCTATACTAATCCAACGCTGAACTGGGGCTCTTGAACTGAAAACTGGTGAAAACGACTGGTTTTAGTTCGAACAAGGCAGTTTATTTTATTGAGTATTGTTGACACCTGAACTTTGTGTGGCAATTGTTGTCTTTAAGCAATGCACCGAAGGAATACATATATTTTGCATAGATTATTTACGCAAAAGCCATATGTTTAATCAGGGTTTGTGAGGAAACAGTTAACAGTTAGAAACATTAAGTGATGTTCGTTAGGGTGGTTTATTGTCCTTACTCTTATATAGTTTTGTCGCGGCTATTTTTCTATCAGTGATCCTTTCTTCGTTCGTCTTCTCATGGATTGATCTGCAAGGAAATTTACTTGCCGATACAGAGTCGACAAACGACATTACCCTGTTTGGTAAAGACGTTGACAAAACTCAGTCTTCCAATCTCCCCAAGTAACGATGGGAGCGTGTTTAGAAAACATTCCTCTCTCCCTCTTTAGATGAAAAATGTTGCTTCAGGACTGGTCTACGTTGATGCCTAGACTGATGATCAGGGATAAGGTAGTCGAGCTCTTTGGTCTCTTCCGTTAATTTAGAAGTCTCACCAGCCCAGGTGAATTGGTTAGTGACTGAAAAAACTTCGGGATGGATTCGGAAAGCCCAACTGAATTTCGCCAATTCGTGTCACTTTTGATGTCAATCTGTCAAGAAAGAGGGAGTTTGCTTTGAGCGATCTTCTTTGTTTTACTCGATGTTTATGATACATAGTTTTTGGAAGTAGGAGACATGCGTAGACTACAAATGTTTTATTGTAGATATCTCAGAAATTCTGAGGTTGGACGAGAAATACTAGGGGGAGATGACAACACAGGATGATGAAGTAGTGAATATTTATGGAATGAGGTGATTGAAATGTGTATCATATATACCCAACCGTCATCTACTCCGGCGCACTTTGTTAGATGGTTTAGAAGTAGTTTGAAGTGCAGTTAGAGATGGCCAAACGAAAATGTGGAATTAGCCCATGACATCATTGGCTGTTGGACTGAACTGTGTTGATAGATACGGACCACATTGGTAGATTCCACTTGAAAATCGCAATGAGTGATTGTAGATGTTGAGTAACAATGTTCAGAATCAGTTGTAGTGTCAGATGTATTCATTCTTTATCTTCCTTTAGGTCTTGAATTCCGATGTTCCTTCATTTCGAATCATCATCTCAATCCTCTGACTCTCTTGCTGTCATTGATACTGCTATTATTTCAACTTTTCTCTTCGTCTTGATAATTTTACCTCGCTGCCCAGCTGTGGTTTGACAACTTTTGGTGATTCTCATATGTGTCATTCTACGATGGATATAACTAATTTTAAATATCTGCTGTCTTAATTTATAGTATGGGAATTTTTCTGTACAACAGATTGATTGAACTTAACTTTAGCATGAAACATAAACGTCATCTAAACTCCACTTTGGGATCCCATAATGCTTGTGACATTAAAGACTCTTTGATAAACACAATGTCGAAGATCAATTATCTTGGTGTCACCTTTTCCTCTGATCTCTCTTGGTCTTCTCACGTTTTATTGTTATCGAAGAAAGTTTTCCGTCTGACTTACTACATAAAGAGACTGCATGCTCTTGGGGTTACTCGTGATTTAATCTTACAATTCGTCAATTCTTTCATATTACCTATTATTCCTTACTGTTCTCCATCATTCTTTCCCGGACTTTTGAGAAAAGACTTTGCTGTATTGCGGAGAGTGCTGAAGGCAGTTAACAAGGTGTGTGGTGAATCTTTCGAGTTCATACTTAATATGGTTGTGGATAGACATCTCAAATCAGGCAAACTCCTGACAGGTTATCTTATCAGATACTAACCATCCCCTTCACTCATATCTTTCTCCTTGTATATCTTCTGGTAGAACAAGACGTAATTACATTAAAATCCATGCACGCAAGCAAAAGTATAAAAGTTCTATGATACCTTACCCAGCAAATATACTCTGTGACGAACAGATTGTTAAAGTTAACCTAGTCAATAACCTGCATTCTTAAAATGTCTCGAATTTTGAAAGTTGTACAGTTTTTCAGATTTTTTTCTAACCTTTTTTGTCTTTGTCTTTGTTTTTTTCAAAAGAAACTTGTTGAAATACGTTGTGCTGAGAATTCTATATTGTATCAAAATATAATATTGAATAAAGCCATTAATAATAATAATAATTAGCGGTGGTTTTTTTGTTGATTATCTCCAACTATGTGTGGTGGCGGTACAGACCTTATTATAACAGTACGAGTTGTTAATAAGTATGACAATGTATAACGCTTATATCCTTCACACTTATCAGTCATGTCTCAACCCCCACTCCAAAGACCGAAATAACTCAGAATACGACCATCCTCTTAGTCAATCAGCTCTCTCATCGGTGAGATATGTCGGGATTTTAAAAATCAAACTCTCGTCTCAAATTTTCTTCCTATGTGGAAATTGATCTTGGAGTGACAACTGTTGCGGCAAGTAAAATGTCATTTGATTCTTATTTAAATATTCTTACATTGAAGTCAGAAATTATTATTCTTCCCTCATGCTCACTTTTGTGTTTCTTTCTTAGTTTGTGTCCCAGTGAAGTAGTTTGTTGATTCATTGTTTAATATCGTCCTGTTTAATGTTATGGATTATGAAAACGTGCTACTTGTAAAAAATGAAGTGTTCGTCTATCAGATTCTTTCGAGACAGTCTAATCGGGGTTACAGGGCTAATAACTGGAACCTAGAAACTCCTATGTGGACTGGAAGACTTCGTGTTATCGCCAAAGGTAAAGATCTCGTAATACGATTGGAAGATAAGAATTCTGGACAGCTATATGCTGAATGCCCAGTGGACTCATTTCCTGGGATATCCGTTGAACCAGTTATTGACTCAAGTCGATTTTTTGTTATTCGATTAATGAATGATAATGGGGAAACTAAATTTGTAGGGATTGGTTTCGCAGAACGTGCGGATTCCTTTGACCTTAATGTAGCAATTCAAGACCATTTCAAGTGAGTTGATATTTTAGTTACCAGTTCTTTATTTTCGTTTGATTTCCTGTGTTATTCAGAAGGGTATTACGTAGAATTAATAGATATTTTCCTAGATCTCATATTGGGTCCCCTAAAATCAGATTTATTGTCGTATATTTATTTTATTGTTTTGCGAACCTTATGTTCTCTACTGAAATAACTTATACCTGGGCAGATTCATAATTCCATCTCCTGTGATTAATAATATTTTGCATAGTGCTAAAATGCATTTGAAGCATTGTTTCTAAACAAAAGTAATATTTAATGTATTTGCCATGCATTACGCAAAATTTTCTTGCAAATCTAATATTAAGTTTGGTACTAGATTATGGTCTAACCATAAAGCTTTTCGTTCTTTTCTGTGTTTAAGTCATATGGCTGACTATTCTTTAGGATTCGTGGTTTAGGATTGCGATGTAGAATTTAGGATTACGGTTTAAAATTTAAGGAATGGTACTAAGTTTTGCGCTTAGTTGATATTCATCCTAAATCTCAACCATAACAGTAAATTCTATAATCTGCATCCTAACCGTAAATCTTAATCTCAAACAATAATGCCAAACCTAAATCCTAGCCTTAGCATTATCGATCACCAGTTAGGTCATTTAAGTTGTCTTCTGAGCTTACTGTAATATTTCGACTTTACTTGTCCTTTCATAATAGTCGATATCAGTCGGTGATAAAACCCAAACCCTGATTCCTAACCTTAATACTCCTAATCCTAGTTCCTAATCTTAACTCCTAAATTTTCTCCAACTCCTGATTCCCAACCCTAACTTTTTTTCGTTAATTAATCATGTTATTCCATCCTTTATTATTATTACTTTTTATTATAAATTGCCTTAAAACTTAACATTTTTCGATTGTTTGGTTGATCACTCAAGGCTCTCTGTATGGTATAGTTTTACCTTTCTATTTTCTATAAATTCAGCCTTCGCTTACATTCTAAACTTTTAGATCATATGAATAATATAACATTAAAGTTTTATATTAAACTGTTAGGAAGGAGCAAAATATATAGTTCAATAATTTAGTCATATTTATTAGTTTAAGCATTTTCACATTTTGATTTTATAAATTATATACACTCATTAAATTCTTAATTAACTGTTAGTTCAATTCATTCAAATTTGTTTCTTGATCAGACATTTGAAATGGGTGGATGCGATGAAGGAAGCAAGACTGTTAAATAAGAATTTACTTGTTTACCAACTACGGCATCCAAAATAATGATGAAACATCATTTTAATCTTGTTCTGTTGAATAAGTAGTAGCAGAAGGAAGTTATTTCACAACCATACATACCACGAGCAGTAATCAGCGATTTTAATGAAATATAATTTAGAAACAATTCAAAATAGTTATACTGAATGGTTACTTCATTCTATCTTGCAAAGCAGTTACGACATGTTAGTAATAGGTTGATCTTTCTACTGATTTATCTGTTAGTACTCCATTCAGTTTATAGCAATAAGTTTCCTTAAACCGTAACTAATTTTGATCAAGTCACCTAAGATGATTTAGTTCTATCTTATCGTTTTAGAATATGATTTCTTTAAAATCATATACGATATTTACTAGATACACTGCGGATTTCATTCTCTCTATCGTCTTTGTTAAAGAGTATAATATAGGTTACATCTTTAGTTCAAAACAATTTTGTTCATTGGTTTGCTATGTACTTGGCTGTAACTGATATTACCTCTTAATGATTTATTAACACAGTCAGGTGACCGCTTCAGTTAATAATATTACTTCTCTCAACTTGAATTGCTTTTCTCTGTGTATGAATTTTTTTCAGTAATGAGTTGATGCCATATTTATCATTCTTTTTATTATCAAATATATTGTTAGCCGGACTTTTGTAAATTTTTAGTTTCTAATCATAATAAGTGACATTTTTTGCCGCGTCATTTGATACAAAGGCCCCATCGATATAATGTCTCTTTCTTGATGAAATCTAACCCAAATTAGTTCATTGTTTGTTAGTTTTGTCAAAAGATTTAGACTTAATGGGCCAGATCAGCGTGAGAGTGGAAACCAGCAATGATTAGTAACTTAAAGTCGAGTTCACTGGTGGAGAAAATAGCTACTTTCACTACCTTATTGCTACAACTCTAGCCACTAAATGCCACGGTTGTCCTTCTTTGTCTCATGTCACTCTGAATTTACCCTGTCATATTAATTGTAGTGGCTTAAAACGATGTCTTGTTATACGAAACCATATTTACACTTTTTCTTCCTTTGACTGACAGGGTTACTTATTGATTAAAAATTGTTTTCTAGGTTACTACATTTTAGTATGTTTTCTGTAGAGATAATACAATTTGAGTTCAAATGTAGATAGTTGTATCGATCAATGCCTCTTCATATTCTTCGCTGTAAGTATTCCTCACACAAAACACCTAGCTCGAAGCTTGCACGTGCTTACTGAATTGCATTTAGTCTTGTTTTAGGATAAATAATATAAAGCTTATCAAATTCCTACTTATTTTTCTTCAATATGAATTTCATTATGTTAAAGGATTCAACTGTAATTAAACTATGTTTTTCGTTTTGCGTAGATGGTTAAAACAGGAAAAAGAAGCTAAAGAAATGGAAGAAAACGCGGGCAACCAACCAGCTAAGGATATGAGTTTCAAAGAAGGGGAAAAAATAAAATTAACTCTGAATACCCGTCGTACAGGGGATGATCCAAATCCCAAATCAAAAGTTACACGCCCCCTTACTTCTGGATTATCGGGTGGTCTACTGCCCCCTCCTCCGCCGCCGGCAGTTTCTCGGTCTCGTGGTAGTCGCGTTGTAGGAGATACCGCCCCAGTATCGGGTAACTTATTTAACAGTGACCCGTCACAACCAAACTATACAAATCCTGTGTGCACACCGAACGTAAGTATAATTTGAAAAAATCTTAATCCCCTTTTGATTTTTTTATGTAATAATGTTTGTTGCTTATTGTTCTTTCTAATATATTCACAATAAATCAAGTACAATATAGGAGTCTTTGCACCGCAAAAGGTTCCCATATAGTTTACAGTATACTGCACCCCAAAGGAGTCGAGTGACTATCCTACTAACGTATGATTGTTTGACTGTTTTCCAATTTTTCACTTGTTGGGCATAAACTACCCTTCATTTCATCTCAAGATATCCAAATCAATCTTTACCACTTTAGTAATGAGAAAGATGAGTTAGGTTTCGACCGTTAATTCGGTGGTATTTTTGGTGTGTGCACCATGTAAGGAGATTGGTTTTAGAGTGGTAATTTTACCTACTTTAACATAAATAGATAAAGATACTTGACAAATTTTTAAAACATTTCTGTAAAATATAGATTTTAATAGTAACGTGTAATATCTATGGATCATTGGTAGTAGTCTTGAAATTTGATCATCATACGTTTCTTCACAAGCACTCCAAGTCCATTCATTTCAACGGTAAAGTGTTACTCCTAATCTTTCTTTGATTAGATGACATAATCTCGACAAACAAGATTTATGTAATGAAAGACAGCAAAATGATTTGGTCACCTAGTTATTCATCTTGTTGTAGTGCTGAGGATAATTTAAGTATCATTATTGTGAACATCTGTTTATTAAATTATTGTCATAGATAACTGATCTTATATTTGTAAAAGTTTTTAAATATAAACACATCTTGGGAGTATTTGTAGGCTTTGGAAAATACATGTACCTATGTAAATGCGTTGTTTTCATATCACAATTAATTCCTTTTAGTAAGTCATAGCCGTATTCATAGTGAAATCAAAAACAATTACTTCTGTCGCAGTAAGCGGCGACGAACATCCTTATTCCAGTTCATTAGCTGTCTCAAATTTAGTTTTATGCAAATATGGATAATTATCCACCAGAATCCATTGAACCAGATAGGATTTTATAAGTGATAACACCTCGCTAGTCATGCTATGTCCGTTCGATCCTTTAAAATTTTTGTACAGTAGTCAGTCTGTTATAACTGAATTGCAGATTAGAGCGCAGCGAATTATCGATCGGACCAAAGACGCGTAAACACGTAAGAACGACTTAGAGTTTTGATTGGTCCCGCTTCCCTATCTACCCCAGCCAGTTGATTCCAGAACGCAAGTCTCAACCTCTGATATATGAATCATCATATTTCAAACATACTCTGTTTATATACCAATCAAGCAGACCACATCGTACCATAAAATAGAAAACAACATCGTACAATATTGACCAATAAGAAAATGACACCATCTCAAGTCCAAGGATAGCGTTAGACTTAACAGAATGATTTTTGGGATATTTTCCTGAATATTCCAACACAGTCATATTCCCACACCTAAAAAACAGCAATCGACAGCATCTTAGATTTTCGCTGTTCATTATTTTCAAACTATTCGGTTTGTTTATAAGCATACAACAGTACGCCATCTCAACTTATTTAGAATGACTTCATTCACCTATATTATTTTGATTTAAATCTTAGATATTTCACATGAAATTTTGTCTTGTAGAACCATGAATTAGGTGTCGTGGTTTAACTCGAACTGTGCAATATTTAGAAATAATCTGAATTAAATTATTTTCACCATAGACTAATACTGTGTGTGATATTTCCAGGTTCCATCGACCACTTCAAACGTCGACCTTCTAAGTGATTTCCTCGGGAATTCTGGGCAGTTCTGAATGCCATCAAATCACTACGTGGAGATATTCTATTTTACGCTTCTTACTCATTCCTCTTTAATGCTCGAAATAAGAAGACTGTGTTTATAGCATTCTAACAATATTTAAGTAAAAGTCTTTCACTTAAAACCTGATTTATTGCTACAGTATTAATGTGAGGAAATATTATGGTTTGCATTTGTTAAAAACGTGCTCTTGCAATATATATATATATATATATATATATATAGTTTCTCACTTTTGTGAATTTTATTCATGTAGTCTGATTTTATTACAAATATCACTGTAATGAATTCCAAACAGGATGAACCGCTAGTGGTTCCCTGTACATGATTCATACCTTTCTCGACAAAAGCCACTATTATTTCCAAATCTTATCATATTGATATATCTTCTGATAGAATAAATTGTGTTGACTTCAGTTTATCCCAATATTATTGAGAAAATTCCTCGCCATACGTCACCGTCTAAGAGTACCGGTGATATGTGACATTTCCCAGGTGTCAGACGTGCGTTAGTAGTGTTAGTATCACACACTGATCTTAAAACTTGTCTGTTTCGACATCAGTTCTGATATGTTGAAATATCAAGATTCATAATATTGAGTATTACATATAGCCAAATCAAATTAAAATAAGATGAGTGGTTTCGACTCATTCTCACGTGTAGTGCATCGCACTAAAACCCCATTTACTAATATATTTAGTTTTACAGACAACCCGTATCTACTTTACGCAGTAGACCTTGAATGTGCTTAATAACCCTGGTGAATTTGTCACTGGTCCCACTATATTGCAAAGAATGCGAATATCACCCAGATAGTAATTTAACTGTAGTTTCCATATACTTATACGATTGGGTAGAACTGTGAATGTCGTGTCTACAAACTCGTTTTGTTGATAGTTATTATGTATATTCTCACAAGTAACCAAGTAAAGGGGATTTGTTATAATGTCAGAGCAAACACATGTACGATTTAGTTTCATTCCACTGTACGGAAATGCATGGTGGCCTTGTAATTACAACCGCAATGATCAAGAGCCGCTAAATGCCTTGATACGGCTGAGAGGGGGGTAGTCAGCTCTCCCTCACGAAATGCTCTCACATGGCCACACATATACAGCCACTCCCAAGTCGTACTCACAGCCTTACGGCAGGGGTGCTGCTGGTAGGACTAGGAGGACGAAAAGCGGATGCCCGGAGCCCAAACCGAGTTGGTGGGTATGGATGACCCACCTAAGAGAGGTGAAAAACTTGGTCCCCAAACCAATGGTGTACATGGGCTCCAGTATCCTGAGTGAACGAATGGCGTATGGACCAAATATTGGACACCAGATACCATTGGACTGCATCTCCTGTCGCTGCTTCACTGCTTTTTGAATCAGACCTTTAGGCGGAAGGCTCCGGATGTGCCCCCCTAAGAAAACCACCTGTTTCGGTTTGGGCACTCAGACAATATTCCAGCTCCCACACAAATCGAATGCCTTATGTGACGCATATATATCTGGTGCCTTCTTGTACCGATGTGTCTAAATAAATAAAAAAAGTTTGAATCAGATAGCCAAACATACATCACTTGGCCCGCAACGTCTAAAAAATCGGTTGAAAGTATTCAGCTGCATGGGTCAAACCTGAAGATGTCATTTATTACAACCCAATGGTACCTTATTCACCTTTTAATATAAGTAGCAATAATACAACATAATAGTGTAGGTTGATAGCAAACTACTCAACTGACTTCTATTCAAGTATCAACAACTAATTTACTGCCGGAAAGCTTTTCTTAGAAATTTGCAATTATCTATAGGTCACAATATTCTTAAACAAGAAACACGTTCCAACTACGCATTGTGCAAGCTGTGAGAAGGAAGTTAACTTAGGACTTTCCATATACAACAGATTTATTAGACCTAGCTCATACTGAAGAGTTGGTAATCACGAACGACAACAGTTACTTATTACTCTGAACCGCGTTCTCAATAAAATGCCCACTTTAAGCGTGTAATGGCTAATCAGTCTCTTGGGACTGAACGCGGAGTTAAGGGTTTTCTTTTCAATGGCGCTTTAAGCAAACGCTACTTGAATCATGAGACTTGCCGCAACACCTGTAGTACTTCAACACTTACGGTATATGCACGTGGTTCTCTCTGCATAAACAGTATTTGTAGTTGCTGAGTGTTTTCTGACTGCGTACTAAAACAGGCATCTAACAACTGAAGCATGTTTGTAAAGTTGCGTGATACGACCTACTGATTGCAAGCATCAGGCCATGTCATTGCATGATAAGGTGAGGGATCTTACAACCGCATTTGAGTAAAGAATTATTGTTTTTAAGGCTGAGATTGTTAACAGACATGAGTTGTACAGTTTTGCAGAAAAAGACTAATTGAAAATTGATAAATGGTTTAAGGACAACACAAACAGACACATAAACAAATATATTTAATTAATTCACAAACGCAAGAATTTAACATTTGAGAGAACTCATTCCGGCTCGCATTATCTCGTCAACAAGCAATATGTTGGAGGCAATAACAGAACTGAAAAAAAAGATATAAACACTGTATTGCAAGCTGGTGTACCACTTTTCAAAGTATTATGGTAAAGCTTTTCGCCGTTCGTTTAATTTGCATGCATAGATTTAAGATTAATAAAACAAAAATTACTATACTGCAAGTCTTTTAAGGATGAGATAGCAATAAACAACTTGAATATTTGTGGAGGATCAGACTATGACTGAAGCTTAAAAGATACTTTTCACTAAGAAGACATCGTCTAGTTTGTAGGTCAACATTTGCTTGACAAAAATTATAACTTCATAAATTAAAAAATCGATCGGTCCCATAATTATATCTGTTTGGGTGACCGGTTTAGGTGAATATAGTAAAAGGCGTAGTTACAAATAAATTATTAGCAGCGATCAACACTTATCACATATTTTATGAAGATTCAGTCAGTTGTAAGGGACGTAGACATGAATCAACCGAAGTTCCAGCACCATTTGAAAAGATAGATAAAATTACCGGAGTCGTACAAACAGTAATAAAAAAATGAGGCTTAGAAACGACTACAGAAGAATGGATTCAAGTAATAAAACAATTGATAAGCTCAGGAAAAAGTGGATGTATCTGCGACACTACGACTGATTCTGAACATTGTTACTCAACATCTACAATCACTCATTGCGATTTTCAAGTGGAATCTACCAATGTGGTCCGTATCTATCAACACAGTTCAGTCCAACAGCCAATGATGTCATGGGCTAATTCCACATTTTCGTTTGGCCATCTCTAACTGCACTTCAAACTACTTCTAAACCATCTAACAAAGTGCGCCGGAGTAGATGACGGTTGGGTATATATGATACACATTTCAATCACCTCATTCCATAAATATTCACTACTTCATCAACCTATTTGCCATCTCCCTTTAGTATTTTAGTAAGAAAATCTCCAAAGACGTCATTCTCTAGAGACAGACGAAGATAGTGTCAACAATACTTGACGAATTAAAAACAGCTTTTTCCGAATACAAAATTAGCATCACAGTACTAACGATAGGATAAGTAGTTAAATTATAGTTTCAGGCGGATAGTGGCTATTATTTGATGGCTAGAGTTGGGTTGAAATCGGGATCATTTTTATGCAAGGAGTTAGTGAGTCAAAATAAACGTAGTACCTATCACATCAGCTCCAGTTGCCATACACCATTGGTATAAAGAGATGAAATTTTTAGGGAAAATCCCTTAGTAAATATGAGTCAGTGAAATAATAAGATTATGAGGAATTCAAAATCTCATATTTTGAGGAAAGACAAAGAATGGATGCACGTGCACCATTAAAATCGATTTCGAGTCATGTCATTGAGAGCCTCTAGCGATTGGTTACGATAATCACGTGGACTACAACCAGGTAGTCTACATCTGCTGCTAAGATGGCTCAGTATAATTATCAACGACTTCATGGATTAGTGCCACGTCTTGGTTTGATCGCCCCTATTTTTCTCCTAATCTAATCCTACACCAGACAACACTGCTCGTCGAGGTGGGCGGTGGTTGGGCATACGTGAAACATGCCTCAACCACCTCAATTAATGAAGACTTACTACTTCATTAATCGACTTGCCACTTTTACCTAGTACTACATCCCTAACCCAACCTACAGACAAATTTGGAGCAATAGCTGTCGAAAGTATTTTCGAGCATTTTTAATTAAGAACAAAATGAACGTGCTATACAACTATTCTTTATATTTCAAACTTTCAGAAAATAATTCAACTTCTATTGTTTTCTAGCGAGATCAGTTAATTTTAACCAGTTTTGAAATATCCATCTATAACTGAACTTTGAATTTACTAGCTATCAATGATCAGTTATTTCGCAAACAAACGAACAACTCAAAATACTATAGAGTATACTGTTTTAGTTGAATCTCACTGAGCATTTAAATAATTTGTTGTGTCCAGATAAGAATAATGAATGGTAATTTTTGGGATCCAATTATGGACCAATATTATGAGTATATTTTTATCGTATAATCGTTATGCAACTAAACTGTTCATATTCATACCCCTCTTATTATGAGCTTTATGTTGACCTATGAACTACTATTGTACGATTTACCATTCATGAATTATTCCCTATCTGTTAATCGCTACCTCCCTCATTCACAGCCACTTCTGGCTAATTATTGTACAAATGTTATTTCCTATTTTATTGGTACGTTGTGGTCGGGTTGATTGGTATATAAACAGAGTATGCTTGAAATACAATGATTCATATCTCAGAGGCTGAGACTTGCGTTCCGGACTCAACTGGCTGGGCTAGACAGGGAAGCTAGCTAGCTAGCAGGGCCAATCAGAACTTTAAGTCGTTCTTACGTGTTTTACGCGTCTCTGGTCCGATCGATAATACACTGCTCTCTAATCTTTCGGTCAAGGACACAACAATTGGCACGGGGTGAAAATCGATCCAAGTTCAAGTCACAACATAATTAAAAAAT